GCTGAGGTGGGGGGGCATGTGGCCCCATTGGGCACTGGCGAGGACATTGGGGTTCATGTTTAGATTGGCATTAGAATTGAATCCAGTGAACATGGGGTTGTATTGGGGTTGGGTGTTGCCTTGGTATGCTTGCTGCTGTTGCTGCTGCAGTTGTTGTCGATGCTGTTGTTGCTGGAGGAGCTTGCTTTGAGGCTTCGCCTGTGCCATGGAGGCTACCTGAGAATTTGGCTGGTATTGCTGCTCGAAGCCAGAGATTCCCTGACTAGTAGGCATTCCAGGGTAGTTGGGGAATTGCGCGAGGAGGCTGGCTGGAAAGTGGCCGTAATCGGGCTGTGGGGTGGACATCGTGGATGAGGTGATGATGATGGGGGATGTTGGGGGTTGGGTGGGGAGAGGGGAGTGATATCCTAGGAGGAGTGGGAACTCTGGGAACGAGGGCAAGTGGGATGGTATCGCCGCGAGGGATGGCTCGAGACTGAGGGATGGTGTCGAGACTGGGAATGGGCCAATCTCGCACTTTGCGCCCGAGTCAGTCTGGTGGGAGTGTCGAGTGGACGACAGTGGAAGCCTTGACGTGCAGTGTGGTGATATTGTTGAAGGAGTCGAGGGTGCGGTGCGATATGTTTTCTACCGCAGGCTGGAAAGTGTGTGTGTGTTCTGGGGGGGGACTGTTGTGCGTGAAGAGAGGAGTGAGGAAAGAGTCTGAGTGGGAATCGTGGGAAAATCTAGGTCCTTAAATAGCCTCGTCCAGACCCTCGTAGAAGGGGAAATCGGTACGAGACTGTGGGAAGCCTTGGCAGGCACCTCGCGTGGTACTCGCGCATCGCGACTGAATAGTTTATGGGCGCAAGTTGAATCGATTGCTACGACTCAATAAACGAATCGGGACTGCTCGGAGGACCTGGGTGGTTCCTCGCTACGACTGGACAATTGTCGAAAAACTCGAAAGCGTTGATTGTAATTTCCAGGCGTTGATGCAATGCGATCGCTGATCATTGGGCACCTTTGTGGGGCCAAGGAGTAAAGAATGTGCTGAGGGCTCCTAACACGCATGCCATGTGTTCTCCTGCCATGTACCTTATGTTCCTGTTCTCGCATGTTCCTGTACTGCATGTTCCCGGTCTACGGACAGGTTTTTTCACAGAACTAGAATAGAAAAAAGTCCGCCATCTGTTGTCATATGATGATACCGCTCTCCCTACAAAGGTGCCTCTTCTTGTGCCTGCTGCACTGAAATGCACTCAAAGATCAGCAATAGCATTGGATTGACGCCTGGAATCTGCATGAGATAGAACGACCCGGCAAGATCGATCTTTGTCAATGGTTTGAACTATCGAGGAAGATTACTAGTTGGGCCTGGGCACGAGAACAAGTTGGGCTGACGCTCAGGGCCAATACTGAGTAGTTCGACCGAATGGGCAAGATATTGTACAGTGGACAGGTTAGCCTGGTTGTGCAACGCCGCCCTCTCCCTAACGAGGGAGAGCGTTGCAGTCGAGACTGGCGTTGCAGCACCAGGTGTGTAAGATTGCTCAATCGTCCACAAGGATATCAAACGATTGAGTTACATCGCAGTGAGATCACTCCATCATCTACCAGGAGCTCAAAGGACACAGAGACAAATGAAAATAAGGAAATATTATTCTTGGACAACGATAGTCTCGTGCCGACATCGATTAGCGGTTGGCGCTTGTTCCCTGACATGCTGGCTTCTAAATGTATATGAATAGCATTCTCAACAGCAAATGTTAGATTAGCCTCGAGACCTGGATGTTAGATCAACTGTCTACATTGAACCGAGTCCTAACGTAAACATGGTTGGTTCATCAGCAAAGGTGCATATGTTTAGCCTCGAGCATATGTTTAGGTCTCGAGGCTAGCATATGTTGCTGTAGCGACACCGCCTCCCGATTGTCGCTATCGGCGCTGGCATGGCGCTGTCACGGCATTTCGCCGCGAAGTGTCGCTGCAGAGAGTGACATATGGATTGGCATGACAGGTCGTAAAGGCCTTGAGAACCCACGTTCTACAAGCTTCACTGCCGATCAACCTGCCGTAGTCTCGTGAACCTGCCGCTGCATCAGCAAAGCTTGAGTTGGCGGGGGACGAGGCTAGAGTTGGCGCTATCGTTGCCGCTGTCGTTGTGTGGCGATGGCAGCGCCAATCGTAGTAGTCTACCGCTGCAGCGGCAATTGGAGGAGCATATGGCGCTGGAGCAACAAATCGACCTTTGCTAATGTGTAGCAGCGACAGCTCACCGCGAATTGTGGCCACAGAAACACTGGTTTACCCTGATGTCTCTGCAGCGCCAATTTTGCTGTAGCGGTACTTAAATTACCCCAATGGGCGCCATGTGGTTCACTTCCACATCAATCATCAAGGCCTTTGAGATCAAACTCCAAGAAGCTTAGTCTGCTCCTTCTGTTTGGATCCAAATACATTAGGATCCATCCAACGTTCATGAGAGCTACGAGTTGATGAGTATATACGTATATACTTCTATTAATCAAGAGAGCCTGAGCCTGTCTGTGTATGTTATCTTGGTGAATCGTTTGAGCGTGTGTGCTTCTTGATGATTTGTTTAAAATACCCAGAAATGGCCCTGAGCGTCAGCCCAACGAGCAATCTTGCTCGATAGTCCGAACGATTGCCTGCCCAATGTGCCATCTTGCCAGTTCGTTCAGAACACATATGATGTAGTCTCGTGCCATATGATGCCCTTTGGCACGAAACTAGGTAGGTAGGTAGTTCGTTTTCGCTAATATATTTACCAAGAGTGATAACCTTACCTACCTGGTATGAAGCTTAAGCACAAGATCTATCAGGGGTTTGGGGTCAGTCAGACCTTTTGGTTTATGTAATTACTTTGGTACTTGAGGCATGCCATAGCTATGCGGTGGAAACATAAAAAGAAGCAGAACGAGGTACATACATATGTACTTGGGCATGAGTACAAATAGTAATAATGGGTTTTTCAAAAAAAAATAAACATCTAGCCTCGAGGCTACCTAGGTAGCTATATAAACATGCAAATAGATGCCGGGAAAGAGCAGAAATACTGGGAATGATTAAGAACAGAAGGGACCTCGGGAAATTTAAACAGCAGCAGAGACATGGTAGCGGCGCCTCGAGCTCAGTCCTTAGAGCCGATACGATACATACCTAGTACATGCTGCAATGAGGACAATTAGACAGGGGAAGAGCAGAGGTACTGAAAAAATAACAGACGGGAATGGCCACAGAAAGGAAGTCCAAGGTGGACTAAGTAAGAAGTTTGGCTAGCTGGTCTTGAATTTCTGCCTTTTGTGCATTCAACAACCATACTTGTAAATCTCGCTTATCATGTATACTGATAAGTTTACCAAGTGTAGAATGGGAGGTATTAAATGCAACCCTTCTTGCAACAAATGAAAAAGTGCTTTGATCTTTGCCATTATATATATAACGCTGGCAATCATAGTGATTGAATTTATACCCAATGATTGTGGTTACTGCACGGATAAGAAGATTGTATCCCGATTTATCGTGTGTTTCCATGATATTCAGTTCCTTGCACCGGTGAAGAAATGCGGGTAAGTTTTGAGTATCTAGATCCGCGGCACGGATATCAATCTCTCCTGGGATGCCGGCATTTTGCATAAATCGTGGAGGGTGGCCATCGGCATCAAGCCAAGCAACAAGAGCAAGGAGATCGTTTCCGGTGAATGGAATGGCGCTTGGAAAGAGGGCTATGTGTTCGTTCACTGCCTTGGCGATATCCGGGGCCCTAGGATTGAGATCTAGCGGCACGAGCTTGCGATCTAGCCACCACAAGTAAAAGTTGTGTGTCAAAAACATCACGGATTGATTTGGGGGCACGCCAAAATTCTCCTCGGTGACGTGGAATGCTTTCAGAATCTAAAAGAGAGAAGCTGAGCATTAGTTTACCCCACTTCAACAGTTGCTGCAATAATGTAGAGAAATATACGTACGTTCCTGATGAGTTGATTGAATTTCAATTGGTCCTCCTTTGTAGCCTTAGGAACGCGGATAACAGGCTTGAGAACAGGAGTAACAAACTCCTCCTCTTCCTCATCACCACTGCATGTGGGGAAATCGTCGCTGTCATGCAAATCCTCAACATCAGAGGATGAATCTTCGTCGTCTGCTGCAGCATTGTGTTGATAGCTCTCAACCTCTTTGTTGTTTGCTTCAATGTCGGAGCACCCTGCTTCTTGCCTAATCATTGCTGTTTTGTTTATTATTGTTAGTTAGTTCCATGCCCTTTCGGTTGGTTATGTTTGACAGCCGTAGAGGACCCGGAATTCTCACCTTGATCTGCAGGCATGTCTGACATTGCACAAGAAATGACTCGAGGCTATGTATAGGCGTGGATGAGGGAAGGGGCGCGGTAGGCAAGGACAGCGAGCGTGGTAGGAAGAAGAACTGTTGTGGGGACGAAGGAACCGTTATTTGTTGTTCGGTAGTGGGCCTTGTTTTGATTGGGCTACACTTTAGGTGGGTCTTGGCTATTACATAATATTCCCATATGCCGCTACATCAGGGGAAATAATTTCGGTAGATCAAGAAAACGGAGGGAGGTGTTCATTTATCATATAGATTCATGGATCGTGGGGATCGTGGGGCCCGGGATCGTGGAGCAAAAGAATATAGTTCCATATATAGTTGCCGTCCTTCTAATCGTGCTCACGCACAGGCATAAGGGACAAGCACTAGCATTTGGTTGATCGCTTGTAGCATTGTCAAATCACTATTCCAACATCCAAGATCTTGTACATTTCAATGTGAATCGTAGTGTACGATATATGACAGACCGACATCCAATTTGCTCAAACAAATACAACTGGCCATAATTCTTGCCCTTCGAAATACAAAAATCGTTGCCATTCAATGCTGTGCAGACCGGCTCAATCAATGCCCTGGTAATGCGTTCATATCCAACGTGCCCTCCCAGATGGGAGAAAAAAATTAATTTACATGAAAAAGGCCAAAAACATATGTGGCTGTGAACGGAATCGAACCGCTATTGTATCCGCCACAAGGATAAGTGCTACCATTACACCACACAACCATATCATACTCATTATTTCATTGCGATTCATATGTTGCGTTGCTGCCCAGACCCACATGATGCCACAGAGTTTGACACCACTTTGTCACTGACGGGCGCGTGATATTTTGTCGAAGTTTGCAACTTATGATTATAAATTTCTCGTTTGTGGTTTTGGATGCTGATATATCGATTGATTTGAATTCTCAAAAGGATTCAGCATGTTGCCGAAGTTGTTGCACCAGACTAAAGTTGTTGATATCAGGACACTAGGGGGGGTACTACAATTTGTAATCGTGCTCAAACAAGTGCCCATCTCTGAGATGGATTCGTCGCCACGGCACACATGACCATTGTGGAATCGGTGTACATCACCGCAGAGTCTCGCTAAAATCTCGCGCTGTGGGTGCTATTTGTCAGTTAGCCTAATGTGGGTTCCAGTACTTGATCCATTCCACCCTCTACGAGGGGCTGGGCACGAGACTACCATTCCACTCGCTTTAATCTGGGGTCAGGGCTACGCTTCAAACACTATCTGGCCGACATGCCTTGCTCCCTTCACCATCACCGGCCTGCGACCTGTCCGCACCACCGCTCAAACGGGACACTTCTCGAATGGAAGACATGGCCTGCCAGCCGCTGCGTGGGCAAGTGTCACGACTGTCCACTCCGAACACTCTAATCCTCCTCTCCCTCCTCGCCCTCCTCGCCATCCTCGCCCTACTCCCCATCCTCGTCCTCCCCCATGCTAAAAGTTGGCGCCGCCATCGTCTTGGGGGTGGTCATCATCGCGTGAATCCCCGCTCGCTCGCCCCCCCCCCGCGACCGTGAGTATCACGTGACGTCATATGAGGGCTAACCTGAGTCAAACCGTTCTTGTTCCCAGCATATGGTCACCTCATTGGGGAAGAGGTCACTAGTAGCTACCTCGCAATCGATATTTTCAAACAAACACAAGAAGTCGTCACATATACATCCGTCTTCAATCAAGAATACTATTGCACTTCATCCTACATATCTAAGGGGAAACATATCTACGACAAGCCATCCGCCTTCCCTGGATGGGAAATTTCTGCTTTTCGGCCAAATAGAAGTCATTAGAGAGTGTACACGGGTAATAATATGGGGCGCTCTAGGTAGGAATACATACCTGGTGTTGGTGGTCAAAGGTTGACATAAATCGTCCTACTAGCTCCTCTGCCGCCGCTAAAAGAAATAACCTCCGGCTGTCTATTCGTTGAATCCTGAGTCTACCCCCATTATCAACATAAACTTCTCCGCTCGATCCCAATACAACTTGACATTCGCCGCAATATCCGGCGGAGGGATTTTCTGAACTAGTGTTTCGATCTGCTCTAACGCCTTGCTCATCTTCTTTAGTTCCTTTCTAGCCAGCTTACACCGGCAGTATATGTCGAGCTGAGCCTCGTAATACGCTTTATCTTTCGGGCACTTTTGAAGGCCAGTTATTGGATTGTCCCCTGTGATAACACTTTCAACGTCATTGATACTTTTCTCCACGGTTGTGGTGAAGAATGTGTGTAGGTGTCTGAGGAAGGTGGCTTTTGTCTTTTGCTCTGCATATTGGAACATCATCGTCAAGGGTAGTGAAAATGTTTTCGGATTCATCTCGGCCGCGGGTTCTCGCTTCCGCTTGATGCCTGCCATCGAAGATGCCGCCGCGGAGGTGCTGCCAAACTAGATTCTGTTATGGTTCCGGAAATCTAGTTTTGTGCCCAGCTGAAAATGGGAATGAGCCAGTGGGAAGGAATGAAGTGACCAACTTACGGTGAAATCTGCAAGCAAATTTGAAGTGCCCCGTAATAAGGCTTTCACAAATATCGTGGGGTGAGAAGTTGCAGTATAAGCTTCAAAACGTATTCGTGCGGGGGTTGGTGTGATATCAATGGTGTTTGCTTTTAGGTTGGGGTGAAGAGAGTATGGTTAGAAAGAGACGTGATCAAACGAAATGATATAACGTTTGTGTTTGCCCCCTCTTGCCAATGCATGTGGCAAGAGAAATATCGAGATAGAACGTTTTTCTTCGTCAAACAACAAATAAGCCGAAGCTCGATTCCATGCATGTCGCCAATGATCTGTGCATCTGCTGTGTGCATCTATATACAACACCAAGAATTAACTGGAACGATATGGAAATACCGGGTGCAAGTAATAAACTGTTTGATCCTGGAGTGTTGGGACTTTGACGATTCTACAGAGCATGTACTGTACAGACGAGGATGATAATCTGGTATGGCTAACTGTTTTTAAGTATAGAATGTCAGCAAGGAACAACATAGCATCTGCGACCATAGACTGAAGAACACGAGGCATCCCGTCCGCTCTGCCATATCTAAGCTTCAGATCGCCAGGCTAGTACTACGGTGGGTGACCACGTGGGAATCCCTGGTGTCGCAGGTATACTTCTTTTTTTTTTTTTTGTCTTTTATTTGTTTCATCTATTATTAAAGAAAGGTTGGATAATGTCGTTCGTGGTCATACTAATTCATAGGTATGTGTGCAAAATATGTATGTGAAATACGACAATTAAATGGCTGCACAGGAATATTAATTATTCAATGAAATGATTATATATATACCCATGCCCAAGAGCTTCAAGCGAAGCGAGCAGAGCGAATTGGGTTTGGAATGATGGGACCGAAAAATGGGACCATTAACTCGGCAAAAAATGCAAAAATATTTGAAGTCAAGTTTGTAGTTTGTCCAGAAAAATGATCAAATGTTCACACAACTTGCAGTTTTAAAACTGATCATGACTACGATGGACATGCAGAATTCCTCCTTACGATATATACTAATTTATATCAGAGCTCGAGTGCGGTTGAGTGGCTATTGTAGATTGAGCGGTGGATTGAGCAGCAGTGGATATAGCGGTTATTTGACCCCGCCTGCTCTGGCGCCAGGCCCTTATTGCCCGATTGTGCATGCGTACTATCCATCAGCAAAGTTCGAATCACGGCTGTAGCGACACGGCTTTCAATAATCACTATCGGCGCTGGGATGGGACTGCAGTGACACGGCTCCAGGGTAATGGCCCCATAGTGAGTGAGTGACACGGTCTTAAATTGACGGCGCTGCAGAAATATCAGGGTAAACTGGTGTCACTACATGTACCGACAATTGTGGTTGAGGTGTCGCTACAGCGACAGATCAAGCGGTATTCAACATCGTAGAATGTCCTTCTAGAGGCTTTTACAAGGTTTGAGGTTGATCAATCTGTTGCTGTGGCGATACCTCCCCGCAATTGTTGCTGCAGCGCCATTACCCTGAGGCTATGTTGCTACAGCGCTATGCTCTCCCCCAATTATTGCTGCAGCAGTAGACTACTCCGATTGGCGCCACCTTGAGCTTTGCTGATGCTGAGCACAAAATAGTGCTGCTGATTGTCGCCATGGTACAGTAGTGGCTGTGGTGGTGGTGCCAAAAGCACTCTGGAAAGCTCTGAATTAAGCCTGCAGTGTAGTAGTCATATATGCTGCTTGCAGCAACAATTGGGGCGGGCATGGCGATCAGGGTAAACCGGTGTCTCTGCAGCAACAAATCAATTGCCATTGAAAGCTTATCAAAGCCACGTTCTATGAGCTTTGATACCAATTGATCTGTCGCTATATATGGCAACACTTGCAAGGCTGCAAATTGTCGATACAGAAGCATACCAACAGTTGTCCCTATAGCGCCATCAGTTATCCTGAAGCTGTGTCCCTGCAGCGCCATGCATGCTAGCGCCATTAACAACAATTGGGAAGCCGTGTGTCGCTATAGCGACAAGTTCGACCTTTACTGATGGGTGGGTATGGAAATTAATCGGTGGCGGAGGATATTTAGATGTATATATATTCTGGGATTCAATATATCCTCATATCCACGAGAGAAAAAGCTAAAGCTACATTTCACATCGACTTGCTGTGCTGTGGTTGCTACAGCCAATGATATCGATAGCGCCGATCTATCTATAAGTGTGACTGTGACTTGATATGAAGGATCATTATGCCTGTGTTCAATTCCTAGGTAGGTGACGGGTTTTTCATTTTTTAGCGAGTTCTTTCGGGGTGAGGGCCTGGATATGTACCTGTTTAGATATTAGATAAAAATGTACATGTGTGATGTTGCTCTGGCCCTTATTAGTGGGATAGTTGTTGCCCTTGCTTTTGCCCTTGTGATTGCTCTCGCTGTACATGTTACTCAAGACGCACAACGCCTGGCGAGAGGCTACCTTTTGTACTTTTGCCGTTGTGCTTGCTCATTCCCTCGTGCTTGCTCTCCTTCTCTCGCTCTCGTGTGCTTATTTATGCTCTTGCCATCATGCTTGCCGTTCTCAAACCCACCGTCAAATCCACCGTCAAAACCACCGTCAAAACCACCGCCATATCCACTGCTACATCTATGCTGAATCTACCGCTCAAATCAATCCACGGCTACATATATCCATACCAAATCTACTACAATATCCACCGCAAGATCCTATCCACTGCTACATCCCCCTCTACACCTTCCCCCCCCCCCCTTTTTTTATTTCTTGTTTTTTTTGTGCATAAAAGAAACGTTGTTCGAATGCGAGGCCACGTTATTACATAGTAGATATTAGATACAATATTACATATCATGTAAAATGTAAAAATGTAAAACTTGCATGAATTCCGTGGGCAGTCTATAGTCTAACCTATATACCTGGGACGAAAATGTTTACGTCCCGTATTAATTTCTGTCCCCAAAAAACCCCACCCGCCTTCTTAGCTCCTGGGAATATCGTTATCGATATCGTGCGATCTCTGTGGAAGGAAGCATACGGGCATGAACATATCCATGCAGAGGAGGTTGGAGATATATATCTTGTAGAAGGGGTTCGATTTCTATTGTCAGAGTTAATGTTAATCTTCTGGATGGAGGGAGGTGGAAGTGAAGGAAGGAACTTGGGACGTTACCGTCTGTGTATACCTAATTGAAATTAATACTTTAGGTATTTGGGGGTTTTTTATGGTGTTCCGAGATATATCTTAAGG